ATTTTCAAATTCTCTATTACTCTTTAAGTCAAATTTAATTACCATTTTTACTTCAAACAAGATGTTTTGCCTTTACTAATAATAAACAAGTTTTGAATGGATTTTAAGTAATTTTAATTTCATTTAATTAACTTAGGTTATGTAATGAGAATAAAAAAATATCGGATTGAAGAATTAATAAATTTAAAGGGGTTAATGTTTTAATCTAAGGATGCTAACATTTAATTTGAGAATTATGATAATATCTAAATTATTGCTACTTTATTGATTTTTAATTCAATGTTAAGCATTTTTTATTTTAATTTAATTTAATTTTTTATTTAACTAAATAAATTATTACATTTATATTTTATATCTAAATTAAATGTTAATAAATAAATGGAATTTAAGAATATATATAAAACGCAAAAAATTCCCTATATTTTGAATGAAAAATATTCAGAAACACCTTAATTCTTTTATTATATTTAAAGCAACTAAAATTTCATTTGATAAAAATTAACTTACAAACACTTGAATTCCTTAAAAATAAATATAATCAATTTTTTAATTCTAAAACTATTAATAAAGAAATTGCTTATTTAAAACACTTTATAATATTCTATTAGGTATATTGGAAATTTATGTTTCTATCGAAAAAAAATCATATTTATAATTTTTATAATTAAGTTGCTGTTTCAATTTTTTGAATTGAACAAAAAATTAGCACAACATAAATTTTAATAATACAGATATACCTCCCAGTTTCTAATAAATTGTGAAAATACTATCTATTATATCTATGAATTTAAAACAGTATAAAAAGTTGCTCTTTTTAATTCCTCTATATATCTTCTAATATAAATTATCTTATTTAAGATTACAAGTTATAATTATAAGAGAAAAATTCAACCTAATTCTTATTAAAATTCAGCTGCAGTATCTTATTTGGTTTTCAGGCTCATAAATATTTCAACTTTTAAGTAAAACTAAAATATATATTATTCTCAGCTTTTTCACAATCATCTAAATAAAAAAAGAATGCGATCCTCATTTAATATTGTTTAATTGAGTTATTAATTATTAATTATTAATTATATAATATTTGATTGTATTTCATCATTCAAATCTTCATAGATCCAAAAATATCCTTATTATTTGATTATTTATATATTCCAAATTATTTTTTAATGCACTTTTTTCTTGGGATACTGTTCTTTCAAATAAGTTATACAATATCCATTGGAGTGTCTTTTGCATATCCAATTATCTATAGATCAAAATTCCCCAGGAATATATTATTATTTTTTCTTTTGATGTTGTAGTAAAGTGTTTTCATAATCTGTATTTATTGTTTCAGAAAGACTACTAGTTATTATACAAATATCATCTTCATAATAATTAGCTTTCTAAGCTCGACAAACAAAACAAGCATTCTAAAAAATTCCTAATTGTTAAATATTAATTTAAATCTTACAAATTTTTCTGCAGAATAAGCGCATACAGGTTAATTCTCTTTTGCACAAGATACAGTTGTGTCTATATCAATTAGACACATATTTTTATTAGCTACTGATAATATCATCAGAGTAGCGAATAAAATAAGAACTTTGATTTTCAAATAAGATAACCTTATCATATCATGCGTTCTTTACCAGGAAAAGCTTCACTTTCTTGGCATTGGTAAATATTTATAAATAAATTTTAGTTTGAGTCTCCCTAAATGATTAAAATATTTAAATTATTTTTTTGGATATTTATCTATCACTTCAAAAATTTCATTTTTATAAATGATATAAATTCATCAATTAAATAATTTGTAAAATATTTGGCCTTTGATCTATCAATATTTTTAAATTTCTAATTACTTAAGAATGTCTCTGAAAATATAATATAAAATAGTTTTAGAGTAAATTTAAACAAAAATAAATTCTATTATTATAATAATATACAACAATTATTCTTATTTAGATGTTCCACTTTAAATAAAATAATATAAAAACACTCAAAATCTAAAGTATAACTTTTTCTTTTTAACCACATTTTTGATTTATTTCAAAACTTCAATAATTTGATTATATTATTATTATTTAAACAAGAACAGTGAAGCAGATATCATCAATAATATTTAATATTAATGAATTCTGAAATATTTTAAAATTAAATTATGCAACAATATAATCAATATTCTAACTTTAAACCTAGAACAATCACTAATTAAATTACATCGAAAAGTGAATCAGTTTCTAGATTATCTGACATTTCTGGGGATAGCAAAAGAAAAATAATAGATTGTGGTAGGAATAAATAGAATACTTGTAATAATTTGACTATTTTAACTTACATTTTAAGATTTCTTATCAATTTCTTTATTTAGCGAATTCATATGAATATTAAGATCACATCCTATTCATCATTATTAATCTAAATAAAAACAAAATCTGATTAGAAAATTTTTACATCTAATTTAATTGATATATTATAAAAGAAAATATTAATTATTAAATAATAAATTTTTATAGTGCTTTCATTTAAATTTTTTTTTGGATAACTTTTTTCTAGAGACTAATAATTAGGTTATCATTTACTAAATAAATTATAATTGATTTAGATGATAATAATTTATTAACATAGATTAGTATTTTCTAAAAATAAATATAAACTCTCTAACTGTGATTTCGGGATGTGGCTAGAAAAATACAATAGGAGGCGATATAAAGTTTAGCAGAATCTTCAAATCAATAAGGATTTCAAAAAGCATTTTATACTATGATTTCAGTTACTTTGATCAAAAAATTTATTTATGACCTTCTTGAAAAAATCATTGTAACATAATTGAAATTTAATTAAATTAACTTAAAATAATAATAATTTTATCAAATTAATTTATATTGGATTTAATTTATGTATAAAAAGAGATTAATAGATTTTAATAAGGAAAAAATCAAATCACAAAAATTTTTAATTTCTTTTATCATCTTCACATTTATAATTTGATTTATTATAATTTCCAATTATTTTGCATTGTACATTATTAGAAAATTATTATTATAGAACCTCTAAAAAGAGTTTAAATTGCCTTCCTATATTTTATATTTTAGAAAATGAATAGAGAATATTATAAATCAATCTTTATAAACGAATATGAGTGATTTAAGAAAAAAAATAATAATAATTTAAAGCTTATTTTATTCATTTTCAACTAATGAAGAAGGAAATGTATGAGTGTAATTGATTCTTTAATAATCTAAGATGATGATAAAGATAATTATCATTTTAAGATGAGAAGAAATGTTTGTTAATTTATGGATTTAGGTTGATAATTATAAAAGAGAAAGTTAGAAGTGAAATATTAAGTTAATGTTTAAATCACATAGATTCTTTGATAATCGTTTATAAAAATTGTTTCAGAAAAGGGGCTTTAGATAAATCAAATGAATCATTGAATTTAATAAAAAATACTTATAGTCAATTAATATAATACATTAAACTTTGGGTATTTTTTAGAAATATAATATATATGATTTATTTATACAATTTGAATTTTAATAAAATTAGAGATAGGAATTTTGAAAAATTCAAACTTATGATTAATAAAATTATTATATAATTATCAAGATAATATCTTCTTGATTAATTCTGATTGATTTTGAATTTCAACCAAGTTCCAATAAATTTTTAAAAAATTTTAGCACACTTATTCTAATTAATTTTTTTTTCTTTCATCATCATCTACTTTAATTTTCCGCCTTTCAGCAATTCATAAACTAAAATAATCTTTGTTTCACTTTCATAAGTTACTATATATTTTAAGAGATCAATTTCTCTTTCAACTCCAGCAATTTCAATTTAATTTATAAATTGCATCTTTTGAAATTTTTGAAAACATATTCACTTTTGTTTTATTGTACAATAACTATATAGACCTGTAAATACAAAATTATAAAATTTTTTCATAAATTTTCGTTTCCCTCTGATAAGGAAGTTGCTTGAAAAATTGACTTAAATAAAATGGTGTTTCAATTATTCTTATCATTCTGGAATTTATCTAAAGAATTCAAATTTAAAATTATCAAATAAATTTTCAATTTTTATAATATTAAATTTTTTGAATAAAATCAAAAATTAATATTTATTTTCCACTTATAAAAAGTTTTATTTTATATTTTCCAATGCTGCAATAACAGTTTATGTTTTTTTGTAATGGATTTAATCAATATTCTTTTTTCTTATTAGAAAAAATAATCACATAATCCTAAAATCATTAAAGTACTATGATTCCTTTTCAAATTTAGATCATATAAAGAATTCTGTTAGAAATTTAATTTAATTAAAATTCTATAAATTTTTACCATATTTAAAGAATTGATCGAATATTATTGAAAATTATAAAGGGAACAATAAGTGGCTTCCTAATTTAGTGAGAATTATAATTAATAATCTTATTAGAAAATGAATCTATCCATAAGTCTTGTGATGTGAAGATTTAATCTTATACACCTAAGATTTAAAATAATTTAATACTTTTCTAAATATTCCTTTTTCAAGTAAACTTATGATAGAGAGTACTTTGTTGTAAATTTCTGACTTAAATTTTAAAATTGTATGCTTGATAAAATAGATAACGATTCAAGTTTTAATTATACTCAATTCCATTTTTTTTAGGGAGATTAATGAAACAAAAAATAATAATGATAATCATTCAAAAGAAGATTTTTGTGCATCTAAATAATTTAAAGGAAAATCAAGAAGTCATTAAGAATCAATAACAAACAAACGAATGGTCAGAAATATGATTTTAAATATGAACTATAACATTTATTTAATAAAATGAATGGAATTAGCTAATATGAATAAGCTAAATTTAGAAATATAAATGAGAATAACTCAAAAAAGAAATATATTAATATGACTTAATGTTATTATAAATTTTATATTATAATTAGTAAAGAATATTTTAAGTTATCAGAAATTATCAAAAATTCTATTCAAATTTATGCAAAGCTAATTTTTATTCATTTTTATCAATATTTAAATAAACTTTATGAATAAAGAATCAGGAGCTAAAACTTATAAAGCAAACTAAGGATAAAAATCAAGAAATTAAGCAAAATTATCAAAGACTGAAAGGGAATTCAATCATAAAATTGTAATAGAGCATAAATTATAAAATAAAAAAGATAAATAAAATCTTTAGAAGTATCTAAAAAAATAAAATGGCAAATATATAGAGAACATCTCTTGATTAGTTTAATTTATATTAAAACATCTCAAAATTTTGATATTATAATTCAAATTTTATATTAGTAAATACAAATTCATTTTTATACAACTCTTAGTTATTCACAATTATCATTCTAAATTTAGCCAATAATAAACATAAAGATATATAGTAAATTTAATTATTAAATTAATTAATTTAGTAAATGAATATTAAAATTTATTTGCTTAATTCTTTCCCTCTAAAGAGTGATTATTTTTGTTCAAGGCTTTTATATAACTCAGGAGCGATCAAGAAAATTATGAATTTTACTTTTGAGAGATGAATAAAAAATAAGGTATTCATTTGAATAAAATAAGCAATCTAAGATTGAAGAAAAATAAATGATATGATGGTACAGTAGGTTTTATTAGTTTTAGAACTCTAAATAGGCTTCTTATCCTCCTTTCTCGGTTAAATTGGTTCCATTCTCAAGTGGTGAATCATATTTATATATATAAGAAATTTGAATTGCAGTAATGTATTAGATATCTTTTTTTAGGATTTATAGATTCCAAATCAATATGATTATAAATACTTGGGGTAATAATCTTTCTAAAAAATTATACAATATCTATTTAGAAAAGTTGAGTATCTTTTGGATGTACACTCACCTTTATAAGAAAATTATTCAGGATTATATCTTTTATAAATGTTTAATTTTCACTACTTTTTTGCTTATTTAAGTTTATTTTATTTGAAACTTTTTATTCTATTGCCATAAATTATGAGACAAGATTTCAATTATATTTGATCATTTAGTTTTATTAATTAGAATAATTGTTTTGGAAACCTTAGACTGATTAAAAATAATCAACACGCTAAGGAATCATTTAAAACTCTTAGAATATGCTTATCAAAATATTTCATAAACTTAATCTAATTCTTAAGAAAAAATAAAAAGCATTTATCTAATTGGTAACAAATAAAATAAATTTTCCAAAAACAAATATATAAAAAAAAAGTGCTATTAATTATATTAAATTTGGAAAGCTTTCAGTGATATAATCAAACTCTATGATTTGAATTGAAAAATTTATAAGATATCAATCCCCTGTTTTTTATACTTTCATTAGAAAATAGACAAAAAATTTTATTTAAAAAAAATAAAATAGGTTTTAACTCAGAGGCAACAATTTTAGTATAATTGTTTAAAAAGGCAAATCATAACCTAGAGCACATCTATAACAATTTCTTCTTTATATAAAATTAGAAAATATATAGGGTTAACTCTTATGTCTTAAGGAGGTGTAGTTTTTAATGAAAAATATTTAATAAAATGCATTCATTTAAAAAAGAAAAAAACTTCTTATCTATGTATATTATCATTAATTACTGAAATTAAAGATATATTTAAATTTATTTATGATTATTAATATAAATGATACTCAACCTTTTGCACCTTTTTGATGTAATATTTCAATAATTGATTTTTGATCTGACATAATAGTTGATTCTGATAAAATACATTCTTGAGCATACAATAATGATTACTATGCAAATGATTAATAACAAAAGATTTTATACTAATCATTAATCTAGCTAATTTAATTTTAAGTATTTTCATTTTTCTTTGACTCTATTTTTTTATAGTAATTAGTTTATTTAATATCAATTGAAAATAAATTAACAGATCCATCTTTTAAACCAACTGCAAAATTAGTTCCATTTGGGTAAAATTTAAGAATCTATATCTAATCATGTATTTAATTATTTGTACATAACATCTTACATTCCTTTATATTCCATAATGAAATGGAATTTGTAAAGTCTAATTAATTTTATAAACCTGTTAATAAAAGATCTCCTTTAGGAGATAATGCAATACATTTAATTGTATTTTAATCTTCTTCAATTGTCCTATAAATATTAAACTCTTTGTTATTTTAGAATAAATAAATTTTAACAAAGTTTAAGCCCATTAAAGCAAAATAGTTCCAATTTTAACATATTTCAATCTCTTTTACCTCAAAATCTAAGTCCTATTAAATCATTAAATTCATAGTATTAGAATCTAAAATTTTAATACTATTATGTGTAAATAAATATATTAATTCTCCACAAGGAGAATAAAATATCTAACCATGATTAATTTTTTTATCTAAAATACTACATTATTCAGAGCTTAATAATTTAATTTGTTCTGTACTGACTATTTTGATATTATTTGAATGATTATCTAATGCAAAATACTATCCATTTTAACTGAATAGTGGTGTTTTTGTTGAATGAAAAATGCCTAAGAAAAAATTTTCGTTTAATTTATTATTTTGATTCAATGTATATTTTTTTACAGGATTATTTTTTTTTATTTTTTTTGAATTTTCAAAAGCTTTATACTATATTAATGAATAATTTAAACTAAACACAATGTCACAGATTTAATTTTAATAGGTAATCTTTTTAATTTCTTCTATTTTATCAATCTTAGAAATATTAATAAATTAAAGCTCTTTATTATTCAAAATTACTAAAATTTCATTTGATTAAAATTGAATCATTTATCCTATAAATTCTTAGTTTTGAATGATTGTTTAAAGATCTTCTATTTAATATATACTTAAAAAAGGGTTTATAGAAATAAAATACTTATTATCAGGAGAAAAACAAGTTGATTGAATTGTTATTTCTTCAAAATCTATTAAGTGAACAGCTGGAATTAATTTAAATACTTTAATTTCATTCTTTTATAATACAGTTAATTCTTATTCTTAAAAATCATATCCAAATTCCATTATTCTTTACTCTCCTGGTAATTACCAATATCCTATTAATTCATAATTTAGTGATTCATCTATTTTCCAAAGACATATTTTCATACATTGGCAAAAAATCAATCCTTAATCATTATTTGTAAAAGCTATTAAAAATGAGATTACTTCTTAAATTTCAATTACACATTGTTTATTAAAATTCTTCAAAACAATTTCAAATTTATTGTTTTTATTCTTTTAAGCAAATGCTATTGTAAAATTTTCTTCATTTTTGGAAAAAATTATCTAAGAATAATTATTACTAATTATTTCAAAATAATTTTACGGATTTTTAATTTACCATACGGATATACAAGTTTATTCACAAGTTATTAAAAATTAAAAGTTATTAGAAAATTTTAATTATGCCTTTCGAGGAATTTTTACCGAAAAATTGATTAATTCCGCCTATTTTGTTTTTATATTCCAATTTCTAACAGTGCCATCTGAATAGATAGCATAGATTTTGTTGGAATCAAGGCTAGAAATATAAAAATTTTCTATTTCTAACAAATTTTAATTTGTAATTTCTAATGGTATCAAGATATTTTGATTTTAAAATTCCCATATATAAATACTGCTACTTATTTTTAAAGATTAATTTTATTAATTAGGTATTATTTAACAAAAAGCTAAATATTTATTATCATCAGAAATCGCAATTTTACATGGTTCTAAACTTATTTTCAATATCTTATTATTCTTTCTATTTTTTATATCTAATATTCTAATTTCTGATTTATAAATAACTATAGCTAGAGTTAAATCTAATGACAAAAACCCTTATAAAGGTTCTTCTTAATCAAATTAATATCTAATTTTCTCATATTAAGAATTTGTTTTATTCATATCATATAACTAAATTCTTCTTGATTTTTTATTATCCAAATCATTTTATTTATCTTCAATTTTTTCAATTATATATAAAAATTGACCATCAAGACTAAGTAAAATAAAATTTGATTATGACTTAGGAATATATAAATTTTATTTGAACCATTTTTTTTCCTGGTTTTTCTACCAAGAGTTAGTTCCAAATTTTTCAAAACATAAAATAAAATTGTGATCTTTTGATGGTATAATTCTAAAAATGCATTTATTTTATTCTAAAATTTTTGATTTTTAAGTTTGTATATTTAATATTGTTAAATTAAAACTAGAGTCAACATAAATAAACTATTGATCTGAAATAAAGTTGTATATTTAATGGATTTTGCGAGTTGGTTTCTTTTATAATTTTAAAATTATGGTTTTCTATTTTAATTATTTTATTTTCTAAAAGTTCCACTTTTATATATTATCTAAATTGCAAATTGTAATAAAGTTTTATTGTTTAGGAGAAATGGTAAGAGAATTAATGCTTATATTTAATTCATCCATAATGTAAATTATTTATGTTGTTTTAGGATATTGAATGTTCCAAATAATTATTACTCCATCTTAATCTCCTGAAATTAAAAATCTTGAACAATAAGAAAATTCTATACAATTAATAGAACTTTAATGTCCATTTAATTAAACAATTAATTTTTTATCAATAAGATCCCAAAGAAATATTGGAACTTCATCTTATGAATTCTATAAACTTCCTGATGCAAGTATTTATCCATCTTAAGAAAAAGCTAATGCACTTATTGAATTTAAATGAGCTTACATAATTTCTTATGTTTCATTTTAATTAATATTCCATACTTTTATTAATTAATCATCACTTGCTGATGCAAGCACACTTCCATTTGTTGAAACTGCCATAGAATTAATTGTTTTCCAATGTCCTTTCAGGGTTCCAATAATCTTTTTTGCTTTGTAATCGTAACATATAATATTATTCTTCACTGTGCTCAAAACTAATACATTCTGTTATGATAAGAACTCAATGCAAGTTACTTCATCTATTTTTATATCAATTTCTATAGAAGATGTTGTTTAAGCTGATAATAAAACAATTTTATTTATTTTATTAAGGAAAATATATGAATCTCCTCCAACTGCCTTACAGAAAGAGTTAATTTAAATGCAATCATCATTTGCTGTTGTAAATCCATAAATTTTATTATTAAAAATCCAGCCTTCTCTGTCAACAACAAAAAAAATAAATTTTTCATCTAAACTCAATTCAAATTTTTTTAAATTTCTTCTAGAAGAAATTTATACTGTTTTGTTACAATTCTATAATTCTTATATTTTAAATGTATCATTATTAATCGAAACTAAATAATGTTATTTATTAGATGTTCCTAGTTCTGAAAACATTTGTATTTATTTTATTAAACCATCAAATCCTAATCCTTCAAAAGAAAAATAAAACTGTTAATAATTCAATTTTCTACTATTTGAAATATGAATTAAATGTATAAATTTACTTGAATTTATCAACAGAGTCTCTCCATTCTCTGAAATAGAAAGATTACAAAAAGATTTTGCCTTATGATCAAAATCAAAGGAATCAATAATATTAAATTAATTCATTGAAAATTCAATCAATTAAATTTTATTTTTTGTTATTATTGCTATTTAATTTCTTTCTTTAAAATATGTAATCCCTAATACATTATCTTAAAATTCAATGGTTGACTTTTAATCTATTTGATAAACTAAAAGATTTTAAGATTCTGTCAAAATAATGTATTATTCATTAGTAATTATTATTTAATAAATTTAAGTATTTTCATTAGGATGAGCATATATTACATTAAATGCATCCTTTATTTCAATCTCTTACCCATCTTTTATTCCTAGTGCATATTTCTCGTTTTCTAAAATAGAAAAGCAATAAATATTTTCATGATATCCACATAATTAAATTTTCTTAAAGTCACTTGCATTCCATATACTTGTAACATTTTCTTATTAAAATATGATTAAATCATTATATAAATTGACTTTATAATCATTTTAAACAAAAAGTTATAAATAAATAATACTTTTTTCATCATTCTTGTAATTATAGATGATTATCTTTGTCGATAATATAATTAATAACTAATTTTAATTTATTTCAAAGAACTCTAAATATTTTATTCCATCAAAATTTAATGTTTATGTTTATTAAAATTATGAATCGTATATTTTAATTATATCTTCATCTGCTAATGCAATTTATCCAGTATTTGAAATGCCTCCTGCACAAAAACATCCTTAAAATATTTATTAATTTTAAAAACAATTCAATTTCTATAATCTTAATTTTGAATTCTAATTTAATATTAATATCTGCTAACCATTATTTATAAAATCTAACTATTTAATTGGAAGATCATACAATTATGATCCTAAATATTTAAATTCTTCATTTGAATATTCCCATAATTCTAAGACTCTATCCTTCAGTAAACAAATTAAATTTAAATTATGTGAAAAAGTCATAGCTTCAAAATTTACAAAAGTTAAGCTTTCTTTTATTATTTGATAGGATGAAGAATTCAATAAAGTAAGTTTATTTTCACCTCCAGTTATGATAGCTTTGTTATCTTATGTAAATATTAATTTAAGCTTATTAGGATAATCCAATTATTTATTTTAATTGTTTTGATCTTTATTTAAAATCATAATTCTTTAATTTTAATTTATAAAACCTATGAATTTATTATCTATTGAAAATGTTACTTCTTTAGATGATAAAATATCTTTTATTTCAACTACATTATCACTACTTTAATGATAAATCTAAAAGGATTCTCGAAATACTAATCCAATTTATGTACCATCAGGAGAATAATTTATAGATTAAATTACTAAATCATTTTAAAATATTTTTTTTTTTATTGAAATTGGTTTTGAATCTAAATTATAGAGTACCAATTCCCCCTTATAAACAGCAGCTAGTTAGTTTTAAGAAGGCGAGAATTAAAAATCATAAACTTTTTTCTTATCATTTACAAGAGAATCTTCTAAATGCTTATTTAAATTTATATCATAAATTTTTATAGATTCAGCATCAAAAGTTATGTAAGCAATTAATGAACTATTTGCTTTAACACAAAATTTTTCAACTTCAAAATCTAATTCCTTATTTTAATTATCTTAATTTATTTTTTTTGTATCCATTATTTAGCATCCTTCAATTTAAATAGCTTCATTTTCTAATAATTTAAATAGAATTAATAATTTTTCAAAGTTGTTTGAAATACAAAGATGTTGCAATTAATTATTCCAATTAAGGTTACATATTATCTCTTATTTTTATATATCCAAAATTAAAAAATTTTATTTAATTTCATCTTGTAATAAAAAAAAGGATAATTTAGAGCCATCGCTTGAAAATTTCAACTTTTTTGGTTATAAATCAAAATCTTTAGAATATATTATTTATGCAAATTCTTTTATGATGAGTTTTTTCTCTTATACGATTGCAAATAAATTTCCATTTTAATAAGTTGCAAATTCCAAACAAATTATTTTTTTCTCTTAGTCTTGGATTTTTTATTATTTTAATTCCTACTTAAATACAAAACTATTTGTAATAAAAACTAAATATTCGCTTTTCTAATCAAATTATATTTATTATAGTTCAATATAATTGAAATTAAATTCACTTATAAATTAATTTGTAATGTTTTTAATATCCCAAACTAAAGCGCCTTTTCTTGTTGATATTGCAAGATAATTTCCATCTGGACTAAATAAAATATTTTTTATTATTAGATCCTTAATAGGTTAAATAAAAGTTTTAAGTATTTCATACTATTTTGATGAATAATTTATTAATTCAATTTTGCCATTGTAATATACAATAGCAACTATAGGTTCTATTGGATTTAATGCAAATAACTCCATTTAAGATTTTTCTATTTTGAAAACATAATTATCAAAGAAACTTAAATCATCTTTTTATAGAGTCAAAATTAAAAAAACCCCTTCTTTATCTAATACATATAACTTTTTTTAGTCTTTAGATAATTATATTTGTAAGATTTTACTTTCGAATTAAACTAAGATTTCACTTTTAATTTTTATTTGAGGATCTTTTGCATCTCTTAAATTCCATTTTCTAATGGTACGATCATCACTACCAGACAAAAGTATAGAAGAATCTGATGAAAATGATAAAGAATTGATTGGACCTGTATGTCCTTCTAAATCTTAAATGTATTTAAAGGATTCTGCATTCCATAATTTTATTTCGTTTTCTTCTCCTGATGATATGATATATTAACCATCCTACGAAAATTTTACTTCAGTAACTCTTTTTTTGTGTCCTTTAAGAAATGGTTTTTCATTACATATAACATTTAACCATTTTACATTTGATAAATCAGTAAAATTGAGATTGCATGAATTTATTTCTACATTTTAAAATTTTGAATGACTTAGATCACAATCAAAAAAACTTAAACCTGAAATATTTGTGTTGGCTAATTCAATATTATTAAAATCTTTAGATCCCAAAAAAACATTCATATATTTTAATAAATATATACTGTTTGATGCAGATCTACAATATGTATCTGTTCTTGAGAGTTATACTATTTCTATCAACTTTTAAATAATACTATCATCGTTAATTAACATTTCTTTAATAAAGTTTATTACATTCTTGAAGTTTTCTGTTGAAATATTAAATTTTTGATCATTAAACACTGATTTTAATAATATTTACTTATTTTTCTCAAGATTTACATTACCATTTTAGGTATCATGAAAATTATACAAGACTACTAAAAGATCATAAATATATTTAGCTACATAAAATTCTTAAATGGATTTATGTGTAAATGAATATGAACTACCTTTAGCACTTAATAAGATACAACTTCTTATTAACTTTTTATATTCATCTTCTACATCAAAATATTATTTTAACCAATCATCAATTACTTATTCAATTTTATAATTACTTTTTAAATCTAGTTTCCCTTATGGCTTGTAGTTTATTTATGATAATTCTCTTATTGTCATATCGATAGCTAGAGAATAAGAGAATTAAAAAATGTCATATTTGAAATTTTAATAATTTGATATTTTACCAGAATCTCTTTATTTGTGAATTTATTATTCGTGATAAAAACTAATAAAGCTGTCATAAAACTCAAAAACTGTAAACTTTTTCATTTTCAAAGACATTATTACTAAATTTATATCATCAGGATTTAATTTTACTTTATAGCCATCAAATATAATAGTGTCATCATTATAATTTAATATACTAACAATTGAATAATTTTAGAAGAAATTCTAACTTTCTAATTTATCAATTATTTAATCTATTTTTGTTTTTTCAATATAATTATTAAATTCTTGATCATTTTCTTCTTTAAGCATTTTTTCATCTTCTAACTTTTTTAAGTTTTATATATTATTTTGATTAAATGGTTAATATTCTTTTTAATAAAATTCTCTTGCAGTTAGTGACATGTTAGTTTATTTTTATAATTTCATATAATTCTTTATCAAATTATCTTTTATTATTGAAGTTCCTGTGTACATTCTAGCCATATTTGGTAATACTTATACTATAATTTCTAACATAAATGGAGTAGTTAATAATTATTGAATATTAATACTTTGAATTGATTTTTTAAATTTATTTACATTCCATAAAGCTAGCAATTCTTTTTGTAATGTAGTAGTTTATTCTTCTTTTAATATTTTCAAAGTCTTATGTGTTTTAACTTTTTTAATAATAGCTTCTTCTTCTTTAGGTTAAAAAATTCCATCTGATAAATTAATTTCAGATTTCTTAATGCAATCTGTAATTTATGAAGAAATTAAACTCCATATATTTAGAAATTCTTCCAAATCAAACATTTATCCAGTAACAGATTTAACAAATTCATAAACTTCTTTTATTTTCCTTTTGATACTCAATACAACATATTAATTTAAATATTCATTTTACTATGCCTCATTAAAATTTTGTAATTAAATTTCTTTTAAAGTTGAAATGCTCTCTCCATAAAACCAAGTTTAGTAACCTGTCGTATTCAATATCTCTTTTCTTGTTGTAATTATTACTTTCATTTAATGATTTACTTTATTAATATTCAAATCCTGAAACAGTTTATTTGTCATTAATAAATTTTATTAAATACAATCTTACTTCATCTCGTCATAACTATCTAGGATGAGTATTATACTTTCTTTTCCATTTTATATATCTAAAGTTTAAGAAAAAAGCTGTTTCTAAAATTCTATCAATTCTTTATTTTTTAATAAATTTCTCACTCTTTAATCTTTTTCAAATACCCAAATATAAGATAAAATTTTACATGTAAAAGAAGTTATCTATTATTCTTAGACACTATTTTATAGTCTTATTAAATTGAAGACTAATCCTTCCCTTACTTTATGGTCTGGTTTCAATTTAATCAAATCAAAAATATTCTCTTTAATATCTTTATAAGCATTTTTTATATCTTACCATATTGAGTCATTCACATTATCTCCCTTAATTACTTATTCAAATTAACTACTAAAAAATAATGAATAAAAAAAGTATAAAAAGTTTGTTAGTTTCAAATTGATAATTATTTATTCTTTCTTTTAATAAGCTGAATTAAATAAACTATTACTAATTTAAGATTTTAGTTTTTCACTAAAATAATTATCTCTTCGATCCTTAAATTCTTAAATAAAAATGCTAATATTTTGCTGCTCTTATTCTTAAGGTTGATTTTATTGCCCTTACAATTTATCATCTTATAAGATTTACTTTTTTGTTGTTTCAATTTTTCTAAAAATTGAAGATTATTATAATATCAAATCTAACTTAAGCTTTAACATCTTTTTAAATTATTTATAATAATTTTTTGTTTTTTTGGTTTAGGTAATAAATTAATCATTACATTCCTAAAACAATGCATAAAAATCAAAGTTTTTATCCTCAAAATCTTAACTTATATTTTTTGTTAATGTTTCTGCATATTTATTAATTTATTCTAATTTTTCATTATAATCATTAAGAAGAGTTTCTATTTCAGATATATTTTCAGTTTAATTAATAACTTAATAAATTCTAAATTAAGCATCTGTTAATAATTTTAACAACTATTGATTTATGTTCTTATTTTACAATTAATCACTCTCATTTATGATTAAAATAAAATCATTTTCTATTTAAGCCAATAAGCTTTTGCAATTAATCTAAAAAGTTTAATCATCTTTTAGACAAAGCAAGGAAGAAATTTTCTATTTTTAAAGAGTTAAGATTTATGTAACTCTCTCTTTATATCCTTAATCTAATTTCTTTTCTGCTTTCATCATTTAATTCTAAAATTACTGATTCGTTATCTAAAGATATTAATATTGTATTTTGTAGAATTACTTTAGATATTATAAAATTACTATATTAAACTAGCAATCAATGAAGTTTGATTATAAATCTTCTAAAGATTCTAATTTAGTATTATATAATTTAAATTTTTTTTAGAATTTTTCATTTTACAATCTGTTATGTATTTCTTTGATATATTCGCCATAACAATTATAATCTATAATATTAATGATATTTTCTTCTAATAACATTACTTCTATTTATTAAACCTATTTTTCATAGTAGATGAATTTCATAAAATTTTCCTTAAAGATACTTAAATTTAAATTAAATTACTCAAATTAAACTTCAAAATTTAGGAAAATGTTTTGAAAATTATCAAATTAAAAAATTTATTTTAGTTTCTCTAAATCTTTCAATTATTTAGTCTCTAAATATATGCTAGCTTCATAAATGGAACAAGTGAATTCTATAGCATTTAAAAAGTAATCTAATTATGCACCTAAAAAGTCTTTTAATTATACTTTAACAAAATTATCAATCTTAGTATAAAGATCTTATAAACTAGTTTAATAAACTTTATTATTAAATTATTGAATGTAAGGGTTAAGCAACTGCAATTTAGTAACTTCAAATTTAGACATTTCTTATGTGTGATTTGCTATAATGATCATTTTTTTATATTTATTTAAGAATTGCATTATTAATGCTTATTAATCATCCTAAAATATTTATTTTAATGAAGAATCATTGAAATAATTTACAAAAGACTATAAAATTCCAGAATAAATTGCAATAATTTCATCCTTCTCAGATTTTAGATTGTTAAATAATTTTTTTATTATTTCTTATTCGTAACTTGCCAGTATAATTTCATAGTCTTTTTATTTTTTTTGTTTTTAACTTTTAAATGCAAAATCTTTGTAATAATCCCAAAGATTGATATTTTAAATAAGATCCCCTTTCAAAAGAAATTGAGAAAATAATAAAAATTTTTATTTACTTTATTCTTGTAATAAATTAGACAATTCAACGTTATTCATATTTTTTTACTCATCTTAAAATATGCTTATGATTGCCTCGTTCTTATTATATGAAACACATTTAATTAAATTATTTTCAATTAATAGATTCCATTAAATTACTGATTGATTAGGTTATTTTTTAAATAAAGAAATCTTATTAATGATAGGACGATATGCAATGACATCAGTAATCATTTATATCCAACTAAAATGAAGAATCCAATTATTAGAATCTGATATATATTATTAAAATATATCCTTTAAAAATTATATTTATTTATAGACTGACTATTTTGATTTTAATTATCTGATAATTGACCATTTAATTAATTGAAATAAATAATATGTTTAATAAGTTTCTTTTGGATATAATTTTTATTTTATTCCTTTTTTTAAAAGATACTATCCACCATCTATGATACTTTAAAGTAGATTTTCAGAAGGTGATAATGATATGATAGATTTAGCTGTTTCCTAAAAGAAATTAAGTAATAAATCTGTTCCTTAAGTAGAATTAGATTTTGAATTCATAATCATTATTTTTATCATTGTTATCTCAAATTCAATTCCTGTCTTCCAAACATTAGCTTATTCAATTTCTAATTAAGTGTTGAATTCTGCTATATGTTATAAATAATCCTATTTAGCAGTTTCTTCAAAGAATCTCTTAGGATTGTTTAATTAGAATGAAAAAATTATCCTTAATAATTCATTACAAATTAATAAAACTTAATAACAGATAAATCCAGAACTTCTTAAATAAGTTGTAAGGACTATTAATAAACTTTAAAAATGTTCTTAAATTAGTTCATATATTTTGCTAGTTTCTTTTTTGTCTATACAAAAAGAATTCAAATATTCTCTATTATAAATAAACCATTGAATTTTCATAAGTACTGCATTTCTTTAATTATTATCTCCAATGAATTTAGATTGCTCTACTATTAGTTTTAATGATTTATTGAGGTCTTCTAAAAAGTTATCAGGTAATGAGATCTCTAAATTTTTTTGGTCGTTTTAAATTACTTTATCAATACTTCTTTCTTACACAGATGTAACACATCCTCCTCCTCTTAATTTAATTAAGTTGTTGAAATGGTATTTATTACATGAACTTTACTTATTTAAGAATATAATAAATGATGAAAAATACCCATTAATTTTCATCATTAGAAGTATTTTAGGAAGATGGCCTTTTAAACTCTACTTAAGAATTTAATCCAGCAATTTCTTAAAAAAAGTATGTTACATATAATTAATTAATCAACTCTATGCAAAAAAAGAGGCGGTTATATATATATATAAAAGAAAGATTTTGCGTCTCTAATAATAAAAAATTTAATTTTAATAACATTTATATTAATAAGCTTTATTAAATTAAATTAGGTTTATTAGTTTCTGTAAATGATATAATCTCGAAATTAATATAATAAAAAATTTATGAGGGATACAAAAATAGATTAACGAAATAAAGAATTTACAATCATGAAAGACCATTTAACAATCTGTAAGAGTTAATTAATATTCAAAAAATAATACTCTTAAATTTTTAATTATTTATATATATGTCATTATCAAAATTTTAGTTTATAAATCCATGAAAAATCTATAAAAATTTCATAGTAATATATTTCCTAAAATATTAAACGATATTATACAATAATTATTATATTTCCAAGAGGGTTTCATATTTTAATAATTTTTATTTTAAATCTTTCTTTTTTAAAATTTCTATTTTGTTAAATTTTTATAATTTCTCCTGCAATACCAATTTAAATAAAAAGTGATTGTTATTTAATTGTGAATATGATTTCAAGTGATATTTTATTTAAAATGAAAAAGTTTTAAATTAATTAATCTTTTTCAAATCAAAGGTTCCATGATTTTTGCAAATTCTGTTTAAAATAACAATTATTTTATCAATCTAACCTTTATAATTTTATTTCAACCTTTAATGTAAAAATTAAATCTTTCTGAATAAAAGTGTAAATATTTTGGTTTAAATATGTTATTTAAATTTTTTTCTCCTCAAAATTCAGAATTCTAAAAGGGATACTGATTTTAAATTTCTATAGTTTTTTCACTAATGAATAATTTAAATCAATAAATAAATTAAATAATAAATAGATATATTGAATTATACATTATAGTTCAAAAAGAAAAAAAAATAATGTAATATGGATAATTTTTTTGAAATTGTTAAGTTTTTAAGTTAATTTTAGTTTTTAGGAAGGAAAAAGATGGAATGTATCTTTTTTAATAAATATAAATAGAAAAAAATTTATATGAAAATTCACAATAATACAAATAACCAACAATGATTAAAAATGAAAATGATATCAATTTAAATTTAATTGATTAATCAGTTCAACAATTTGATTTATGTAGTGATATTGTTTTCAATTGTTCTGGTACAATTATGGTATCCACTAACGGATTAAATATAGAAGTTTGGAGTTTTGAGAATGGAAAAATTAATTTAATTAATAGTTTGAAAGGACATTCTAATTATGTTAATTGTCTAGTTTATAGTTAGAAATAGGATATATTTCTTTCAGGGTCAGGTGATAAAACAATAAGAATTTGGATTAAACAAGAATAGAATGATTGGATAAGTTCATATTATCCATCAAATTCTGGTTATGTATAATGCTTATTGTTAAATAAAAATGAAGATTAACTCTTTTGTGGAAATGAAGACAAATCAATAAAAGTTTGGTAAGTTGATTTTGAAAAGAAATAATTAAATTTTTTATATTCTTTAGAGAAACATGAAAAATCTGTAGAAGCTATAAGTTTAAATTAATCAGAATCTAAATTAGTTTCTTGTGCTGATGGCTATGACTAAATAATTATATGGGAAAGGGGATCCTAAAATTAAATGGTATTTAAATATATTGTTAATTAATCAATTTATAATTATGGGCGCAAAGTTAAGTTTTTAAAAGAAAATTAGTTTATTTGGGCAACTGCTAGTAATACTGAAATTGCTAAAATATATGTATTTCAATTATAAAATGGAGTTTTTGAAGAGAATTAAGAATAAACAATCGAACTCATTTCAAACAATTATATATATGATGAACATTAATTTCCAATTGTTCATATTAAGGAATAAAATTTGATACTTGTACGACATAAAACTCACATTTATCTAATCCGAGAAATGAATAATGGTTAATACAAAATTGCAGGATAATTAGATTGCGAATAAAACTATACTGTAGGAACACTAACAAATAATGGTTCTCATTTAGTCTATTGGAATCTTCAAAATAAAAGATATTCAATATATGAATTAGAATATAAATGAAAAAATTTTAATATGATATTTTTCAAATTATTTCTTTAATAAGATAGGTATTCTCTTCGATTTCATTTAGAGATTCTCAAAGATTCCTTTTTTACCTCTTTTCGAAAAATAAAAGTTAATTAGTTAAATCACAATTTAAAGTTAATTTAATATATTCTAATAATAACATGAAACTTTAAAATTATATTTTATATATTATTCATTATATCATTTAAAAAAAGAATCAATATTTATTCAGATATAATCAATCAGATTAATATGGATTTTAAAAGAAAAAGTGAAATTAGTATATTTACAGGATTTTATTATACCGAAATTAAGCAATAATAGTAAGAGATAGAAGTTATTATTTATAGTTATGAATACGCATAAAAAGATTATATAATGTTTATTTTAATGAAAATATTTATTCTATGTATATTTATTTTTATATCAAAAACGAATTTGGTATACTGTTAGGTATAATAATCTAGTTTTTAAGAAACTAAAACAGATATAAAAATTTGAATTTATGATTTTTTGATAGATTATATATCATCAATATATGACTGATAACTAATTTAAAGATATTCTTTTATCAATTATTATTCAATTAAATTTATTGTGATTCATAATTTTGTAATATTATAACAAGAATTCCTTATAGGTATGTATATTTAAGGATTAAACTTAATATATTTAGTTAAGGCTAACCGATTGATTAATTTAAATAAATAAATAATTTATCATTGATTCATTTAGTTTTATAATTGTATTTAAATAAATACATATGTTTTTAATCATATTTTAACAAAAGATTATCAACAAATCTTAGATTAATGAACATATCGTTCTATCTTATAATTTTCTATGATAAAATTTTTTGAGCATTATATATTCTCAATCTTTCTTGCCTGATTAATCTATTGTTTAATGTGAATTTTTAAAGTCATACTCTGTTGAAATATAAAAAGATACTTTTTTGTTTTATGCATATAGAATAAAAAAAAAACATAATAAAATAGCAATTAAAACATAATTATTTGTAGCATAGTATTTAGTGAAATTATCTATTATAATAAATATTAAGTAGCCTTAAAACTATAATTATTATTATAAATACAAGAATATCAATTTAGAAAATATATAGTCTTAGATTATTCTTTTGATAAATAACCTTAAATTTAACAAAGAAATTTTGATTTTATATAATTGATTGTTTAAATTTGAAATTAATAAATATAAAATTTGATAAACATAATGTATTGAAATAAAAATAATTATAATAAGGATTATATTAATGATATTAATAATAGGTTTTTAATCAGAATTATAAGAAAATAAATAGAGATTAATAATTGAATTAAATGTCTGATTAAGAAAGAAACATTAATTAAATTTCAGATAAGAATATAGAGAATTTAACTAAATTAATACCAGATTCATTACCTGATGAAATGAAACAAGCATTAAAATCATCAGTTGAAAATTTAATTAAGGAAGAAGCTGAGTTGTCATCTATTGAGGAATATGTTTCTAAAATGAATTCAGATGATATAATTATATCATATTATGGATTAAATAGATGTAGAAAACTATTAAGTTACACAAATTTAGCATAGCCAACAGAATCACTGATAGAAATGATTCTTCAAGCTAATGTTTTAATAAAAATATCTGATATTGCAAAAAACAATAGTGTTCCTTTATTAAAATATGAAGCACTTTGGATTATTTGTAATATTGGATGTGGAACTTAAAAGTAAATATAAAAAATTATAGATAATGATGGAATTAATATTCTTTTTTTAGCACTTGAATCTGAATATGATTAAATTATTGAATTAGGAGTTTGGGCTTTAGCAAATATTTCAGGTGATAATATTTAATTTAGAGATATGCTTATAAATAAAGGAATAGTTTAACCATTAATAAGATTAGCATAAATTTATATGTCTGGTAATTTTTAAACATTTAAAACAATTGTATGGGCTATTAGTAATTTGGCTAAAGGTAAACCAACTACAACAATGGTATATATATGATTATATAAATAGTATAAAAAAGAATTAATATTAATTCTTACAGAAATTATAATGAACATCGATTAAGATGATGAATTATTAATAGATGCTATTTGGGGTTTAAGTTATTTAAGTGAAGATGATATATATTTTAATTTATTCATTTAAACTGGAGTTATTTTAAAATTATCTTAACTACTTCATTAATAAAAATAAACTCTTATAATACCTTCTTTGAGAATTTTAGGAAATATTCTCACAGGCAATGAAGAATAAACAAATTAAGTTTTATATACTGGAATTCTATAAATTTTTGATAACTTATTAAAACAGAATTTAAATAAAAAAATAAGAAAAGAAGTAATTAATTTCTTATAATATATAAGATTTGTTGGTCTCTGTCAAATATTGCTGCTGGTACACCACATTAAGTTAAATAAATTATTAAAAATGATTCACTTTTAAAATCTATATTTCGATAATTAGACTCAAGAATTCCTGAAATCACTAAAGAAATTGCTTTTTTCTTATCTAATACAGCAATCTATGCAGAATCATAAGATTTAGATTATCTTGTTTTATCTTATGGATTTATTTAAAAATTAGCTATGCTTTTAGATTCAGAAGATAAAACTGTTATTCAAACAAGTCTCGAAGGATTTTATGAATTTTTAAACAAAAGTAAATAGATTTCTTATTATAAGTTATCAAAGATTAAAGAATTTAAGTTTATAAATAATTAATTATTGATTCAAATATTATTGAAAAAGTGGAAATTTAGTAAAATCATCAATCTTCTGTAGTTTATGAGAAAGCTAATAAGATTTTAGAACTTTTAGAACCTGAATTTCATTAAGATGATATCTGAGAATTATATTTAAATACTGATTGTTTAAGTGTATTCAAATTGTAAATCAGTAATAATAAAAAAATTAAATTATTTTATATTTCAAAAATTTACTTTTATTTATAACTTTAATTTTTTAAATATTCTTTTTGGTTATCTATTTTGTTAAAATGATGATGAAATCTTAATTGAAGAATTAAATAATTATTATTAGTCTGACAAGATCGATATTTTAATATTTTTTTGTGTAATTCTAAAAATTAATCTGAAAAATAAAAAAAAAATAATGTACTCAATATACAAATAAATATCTACACTTTTTTGAATTCAAATAAAAATATAAGTTAAATTTATCAATTATTTTCAAAATTTTTTCAATATTAAATCAATATCAGATTTATCATATCCAGCATTTTTTGCCTCTAAATAAAATTTTTTGGATTCTTATTATTTACCTAAATAAATTAATGAATCAGCTAAAAATTGATTTTAGTAATTTATACCTTTGTTCTTTAAGTAAATAGGTTTTCGATTAATTAATAAAGCTTAATCATAACATTTTAGAGCATCTTTATAATTATTCAAAAACTCTAAAGCAATACCTATTTAGAATATTTAATACCTTTATTATTCATAGCATCACTTAAAATAGGATTGATCTTTATTGCTTTATCATAACATTTAATAGCATCACTATAACAATTTAAATTACTTAATGCAATACCTAAATTAAATTATTTATAATATACTAAATACCTTTATTATAATATGCATCAAAATCTTTTGGATCAATTTTAATTGCTTAATCATAACATTTTATTGCATCTTTATAACGAACCAAACTACATAATGCATTACCTATATTAAATAATATAAAATTTACTCATTTACCCTTATTATAAAATGCTTCGCTAATATTTGGATTTAATTTTGTTGCTTAATCAAAGCATTCTATAGCATCTTAAAAACGATTTAAGTAGATTAATATCATTCCTATCCAAAAATATTATTTATTTTACCTTTTAAATTATAGACAGAATCCTAACTGTTATCTACTTTTAAAGAGTCCTCTATAAATTTTAATGATTCTTCATAATTAAATGCATCAAATAATTCATTTCCTAAAATAATTTTATTTATTATTTTTACCTTTATTAAGTAATTCTTTAGCTTATTAAATTTTCTGCTCTTAACTTAATTCCTGTATCTATATAGTTTTATTTTTCTTGATAGGCTTGATAGGTTATTCTAATTCTTTTTACAAATCTTTAAAAGCTAAAGCAACCTTGTTAAATTCATTTAAGGATAAACCTTTATTTTTAGCAATTTATTTACTTTCTTTATTTTATTTTTCATTTGAGAAGTATTCTTTTCCAAATTGAATTAATTATTTAAAAGATATATATTATTTATCTTTTAAAAATTTATCCATTTCTTTTAATATTGAAATATCAACTTCTAATTTTTTAAATTTAGTATCAAATGCTTGATTTATTATAATTTATATCTCTTTATATTTAGAAATCAATTCAATTTAAGTTTGAATGAATTGATTTATTTAATTAGTTAATTAATGGAATCGAATGCAATCATCTGAATGAAATTTATGAATTTAGAGCAAACATTTAAAACAGAACTGAGAAGTCTTTGAGCAATCTTTATTCATACAAAATCCAATAATTGATTCATTTTAATGTTCTTCATATTGACATTAGAATTCTGCTTCCATTTTTTTTGAATAATAGAATTACAATTAAATATAATTAATTACTTTCTTAAATCACTATGAATAATATTTATATTATAATTATGGAACAAATTTATCAAATATATTTAATTTTAGTAAATTAAAGCTAATTCAAATTAGTAACATTAAAGAATGCAGTGTTCTTAAAATTGTATAAAAATTTAACTATACTTGCCTATGTTAAATATCATATATATATCAAGAGAAAAAATCTAGAATGTTACAATTCTTAAATCTAATAAAAAATTAAATAAAAAAAAGATAATTCCAAATTTAGGTATCTAGGAGTTAAAAATAATTAATCATCAAATAATTTTTAGTTCAATGTCTATCATAGATTAAAATTCTATGATAATTTTATCCTAAGAAAATTTCAATAGGAAAAATTAATTATTGAGATGCAATTCTTCTTTTCTATATACAAAAAAATTAAGGGGATAATAAAATAACTATTAGATTTTAAGTAATGTGAGAATTGTTTAATTTATTTGTAATTAATAATAAGATCAATAAGAAGATGCTAATAAATGTAAGATTAATTGATTA